CCATTCCCAGAAAACTTTTATCGCAATTATTCCCAGCTTCCATCATCAGAAAGCTCTTTAAAAGAGCTGATCCAACAAAGGGAAAATTTTCATCAAGCCTTAAAAGATGGGAATCAACATTTTGTCGCAAATTTTGTCAAAAATAACCCTGGATTGAAACGAGCATATGGCCCAGGAAACTGCTCTGCCCTGGCCCAGGCTTTTGAGGCCCTGGCCGATGTACAACAACATCGTCATTTCGAAATTTATGCATTTTTGCAATCAAAAGGTTACGCCTTTGGCACAAAGGAAGAGCATTATTCTGAGGACTCATTGAATGACCAGCAGAAGAATGAATTGAAGGAGGCAAAAAAGAATTACTTCAGTAAACCCGATGACTCCCACATCATACACCTTGTTTCGAAATCTAAACAAGGTGGGAAAGGACAAGATTCTTTCACGGAAAAGGAGCAAATAATCAAACTGTTCGAAATGCTGGACGAAATCCCAGAAATATCTGCCATTTTGAAAGTTGTGGAGCATTCGGAGAAACTGGAAATCATTTTTGATTTCAATGAGAAATCAATCGTGGATATAAACCCAACAACCGCTTCTTCAACTGCTGGGGCTTGTGATTATCGAGTTGGTAGAATTTACATCGGTGCTAAAACTGCTAAACCAGATGAACTCTTCCTTAATGACCCTTGTAACCGTGTGCTTGACTCAGTAAACCGCTACGTTTAAGAGAAACTGTTGTTGACGTTAGGTATGCTTTTTGACCTGTTCCTTTGACTTCGGTAAAAGGTTCTTTAGCTAATTGACTGCAGGAATCGCCAAGAAGAATTAGACTCGATCATTGCTCGAGTTTTCACTAATTATCCTAATGAGGTTTTTTGGCCATCGGAATTAATTGTTCGAGTCCCGCATATTTTAGCCAAATATGGCTGCAATGAAGAAACTCAAAAGTTGCTGCAGCAAACTGAAAATCTCCATCAATTTTACACCAAACTGCAAATTGAACATATTGAAGCATTCATCAAAAACCCTGAGCCATATAAAAACCGCCATCGTGTGAAACATTTAAATGAGCAACTGGGCCAACTGAAAGAAATCGAGCAGTTTTCTTTGGAAATTGATAAAAGACACCTATTCAATGATAAAATACTGACAGCTTTTGAAAACGTTCACCTGCTGATAATTACCACTTCATCAGCAAAACTAGTTCTCTTGAAATTTTACCAAAGTTTGGTGAAGACAAAGAAACTGAAGTTGCATGAAATCAGCAGCCAGTATCTTTTTATTTCAGTGACCCAATTCAAAAACAACCAAGTGACCCAAGAAATTTGCAAACTTTTCCAACCAACCCAGAAACTCACATTGGTTGTCAACTGCTGCTCTTCAGATTATGAGCAAAGCAAAAATGAATTTTTGTCAACTATAGAAAAATGGAAAATTGAAAAAGAACTCATTTTCTTGATGGTTACAGATGAACACTCCCATGAGGCATTATTAAAAAGCAATGTAAAGTTTGATGCAAAAACCATCACTGAAAATGTCACCTTTGCCCATTTGACAACAGCATCAGGAGAGAAACTTTTGGAAAGTCAAGTGAATTTTCAAGGACAACAAGTTGCCCTGAACAAACTCCTTGCTGTCAATTCACCAACTGCCCAAAACTTACCCATGGAACCCCTTGTTGTCATGGGGGCAGAAAAACTCAGGGTGGGAAAAGAACCCTCCGTACCCAACACTTTCAACAATTCTTGCATTGATCTCAACAAGTCCATCAAGCAGGAATATTTGCGAGAAGCTCTGCTCAATGATCCAAACACACTGTTTGTTTTCAGTGGCTCAACCCAACCCATCAATCAATCAGATTTATTGGATCAATTGAATATGGACCCAAACATTGCTGATCAAAAGCTCTGTATGTTATCTGAAGATAACTCAATTGCATTTGCAAAATTTTGTCATCAACATTCCTCACATGCAATCCATTGGATTGAAAAGGAACAAAACTCAACCTGGAAATGGAAAAAGTTTTATTACCCCAATTTCTACATCAAGCGGTCTTTCAAACGCTACACTCGAGTGGCAATTAAATCTGAAATCAAGTCCCTGATGCTGACTAAACCCACTCAAGATTACTGGGTAATTAGCCATTTTCCTGCATCTGAGCACAAATTTAAACAACTGAAAGAAGACAATGGAGAGACTCAAAGAGAGAAATGGTTGAAATTGTTGTCAGAAATACTCAAGGTCACCCCAGCAGAAGACAGAAAGCAACTGCAAGAACTTGTCCAACAAGAACATATTTTCTTGATGGACCAAGAAAAGCCAGCTGAGGACAAATTCCATGAATTGGCAAAAACTCACTCTGAGAGAAACATCCATTGGCTTCAGCTGACTCACAAAAATGATGTTCCATTACAGTGGCGTGCCTCTTCTAAAACACTAGAACCGTTGCTTCCTTATTTTGACAACAGTAAACGGGAATTTTTGCGTGAAAATGAGGAAACTTTAGCAGAACTACCTCAAAGGGTCAAAATCATTTCTGGTGAACCTGGGATGGGTAAATCAACTGCTCTGGATCACTTGGCCATACAACAAGCTCAACAGGGAAGATGGGTTTGTCTACTCAAGTTGAAAGAGTGCCTGGATGCACTGAAATGCCGGAAATTTGACATCAAAAATACTGATCTTTATGCAGTGATACAGTTTCTCTTGGAAATGAAAACCATACATCCAGAAAATGCATCCCCAGTGGAGAAAGAATTGAGCAGGGAACTCTTTATCCATGCTTTGGGTGCAGAAGAATCCAACCAAGTTCCACTTGTTTTGCTGGATGGATTTGATGAAGTGGGCAAGGAAATTCAGGATAAAACATTACAGTTGCTGCATTTCCTCAAAGACCAGAGCAAGGCTGAAGTGTGGATCAGCAGCAGAAAAACCCACATCGACAAGTTGGAAAATGAATTGGCTCAATTGGCCACTGAATTTATCCCACTTTTGCCTCCAGAGCAACAACAGCTTTTGAGACAGTTCTGGAAAAATAGTTTACAATTAAACTATTCCCAAGAAGAATTGAACAAGTTCAGTTATAGGATTTTTTCTGAAGAATTGCTCAAGAAGGCGGAACAATCTTTAGGCCCAACCATTGGGCAATTTATAGGCATTCCTTTGCAGCTGCGGATTTTGGCTGAAGTTTATTTGCCTGATTTTGAAAAGAATCGTCAGGTTTTAGATTCTGATCAATTGAAGGCACTGTTTGAGAACCTAAATCCTTTTACCCTCTATACAAAATTTGTTGACAGAAAACTGAACATCTACTTTCAAGAAAAAAACAAGATTGATCATGACGAAACACGAGATAGTTTGAGGGAAACCTATCTTGAAGCACATCAAAAATTGGCATTGAAACTATCATTTGAGGAACATTCAGAAGAAGGTCAGGATATACGAAAGGATATCTCAAATGTTGGGATTGTGCAATTAATTAATGGGAAGCATGAATTCTTGCATGAAACCTTTGTGGCATACTTTGTCACCAAATATGTAGAACAAAAGCTACTTCTGGAACAAAAGCAGAAATATGGAAAACAATTCAATAAAACACAGCACCTGTTTCTAAAATTGCTTGATCAGCCTGAGAAACCAGTTGTGCGCCTCTTCCTGGAGAACCATTTGATTCAAAGGATCTTGAGGGAAAAAGAAATGTTACACACCTGGGGTCATAAACTATTTCATCACTATGAAGAAAGCTCAGGCACACTTGCAGCACTGAATAATGCTGCTGGAGAGGGTCATATACACATCCTTGAATTTATATGTCAATGCTTTAGTAAACAGACCATGGAAATACTAATACTTGGAAAAAAAGACAGAGTCACCCCATTACACCTTGCTGCACGAAATGGTCATAAGAAGATGGTGGAAGCATTGCTTGGAAAAGGTGCTGCTGTTGATTCAAGGGAAGAAAACAAATGGACCCCATTACACTTGGCTGCACAAAATGGCCATAAAGAGGTGGTGGAAGCATTGCTTGGAAACTATGCAGAGGTGAATGCAAAGGATGATCAAAACTTGACCCCATTACACATGGCTGCAGTACTTGGTCATAAAAAGGTGGTGGAAGCATTGTTGAGAAAAGGTGCAGATGTCAAAGCAAGAACTCGAAAAGGGTCAACTCCTTTACACCTTGCTGCACAAAATGGTCAAAAAGAGGTGGTGGACACAATGCTTGGGCAGGAAGATGCTGAAGTTGATACAAGAGATGATGAAAACTTGACCCCATTACACATGGCTGCATTATTTGGCCATAAAGATGTGGCAGAAGCATTGCTTGGAAAAGGTTCTGATGTTAATGCAAGGGATTATCTAAACTTGGCCCCATTACACAAGGCTGCATTATTTGGACATAAAGAGGTGGTGGAAACATTATTGCTTGAGAAATATGTTGTGGTTGATGCAAAGGACAACAAAAACTGGACCCCATTACACATGGCTGCAAAAGATGGCCATAAAGAGGTGGTGGAAGCATTGCTTGGAAAAGGTGCTGCTGTTGATGCAAGGATTGATAAAAACTGGACCCCATTACACCTTGCTGCACAAAATGGTCATAAAGAGGTGGTGGAAGCATTACTTGGAAATGGAGCAGCTGTTGATGCAAGGGAAAAAAACAACTGGACCCCATTACACTTGGCTGCACAAAAAGGTCATAAAGAGGTGGTGGAAGCATTGCTTAGAAAAGGTGCTGCTGTTGAAGCAAAAGGAGAAAACAACTGGACTCCATTACACTTTGCTGCACAAAATGGACATGGAGAGGTGGTGCAAACATTATTGCTTGAGGAAAATCTTGTGGTTGATGCAACAAACAACAACAACTGGACCCCATTACACATGGCTGCAAAAAATGGTCATAAAGAGGTGGTGGAAGCATTGCTTGGAAAAGGTGCTGCTGTTGATGCAAGGATTGATAAAAACTGGACCCCATTACACCTTGCTGCACAAAATGGTCATAAAGAGGTGGTGGTTAAAGAGGTGGTGGAAGCATTGCTTGGATATGGTGCTGCTGTTGATGCAAGGGAAGAAAGAAACTCAACCCCATTACACATTGCTGCACAAAATGGCCATAAAGAGGTGGTGGAAGCATTGCTTGGAAAACGTGCAGACGTGAATACAAGAAATCAGGAAGGTTTAACTCCATTACACTTGGCTGCATATACTGGTCAGAAAGAGGTGGTGGAAGCATTGCTTCAAAAAGGTGCAGATGTCGAAGCAATAAATCAAAATGGGTCAACTCCATTAAAGTTGGCTTTACAAAATGGTCATGTAGAGGTGGTGCAAATATTGCTTCAAGAATATGCTGTGGTTGACTGAACAGATGAAGATCACTAGACCCCATTGCACATTGTTGCTTAAAATGGTCATAATAAAAGAGGTGGTGCAAGCATTGCTTGGAAAATGTGCTGTGGTTGATGCAAGAACCAATCAAAATTAGGCCCTTCACACATGGTAGCACATAATGGTCATCAAGAGGCAGTCTAAACATTGCTCAAGAAAGGTACTCATGACAATGCACAAACTCAAAAAGAGAAACTCCATTACATTTTGTGCACATTACCCTTTCAAAGCAGTGGTTGAACTATTGTGTGATGAAGGTGCTTTTGTTGATGCTAGGGAAGAAGACAAGTGGACCCCATTACACTTAGCAGTACAATATGGTCAAAGACAGGTGGTTCAAGCATTGTTACCAAAATTTGCTAATGTTGATGCAAGGGAAAGAATAAATGGCACTCCACTGCATTTTGCTGCATGATATTGGATTTAAAGAGGTGCTGCTAATATTGCTTAAGAAAGATACTAATGTCATGAAATGGGCATGAAGAGGTGGTGCTAGCATTCCTTGAAACATTTGCTGTTTTGAAATCTCATTCTCACAATGGGCAGAGTGTACTTCACTAGGCTGCACAAAACTTTCATCAAAACATGGCATATAGCCATTATTTGAGAAATTTTCCCAAATTGATGCTAGTAGAATATTAACAGGTCTTCATCTAATTTGACCTCCCAATAAAGTTGGAAAATGTGCTGTGGTTGATGCAAGAACCAATCAAAATTAGGCCCTTCACACATGGTAGCACATAATGGTCATCAAGAGGCAGTCTAAACATTGCTCAAGAAAGGTACTCATGACAATGCACAAACTCAAAAAGAGAAACTCCATTACATTTTGTGCACATTACCCTTTCAAAGCAGTGGTTGAACTATTGTGTGATGAAGGTGCTTTTTTATGCTAGGGAAGAAGAAAAGTGGACTCCATATGTGAATCGAAGTGTTATACCAGTATCTGTCCACCAAGTTCGTAACGATGGTCTTAAACGATTACAACTACGTTCCCTTTCTTATTTACCGTGAGGTGACGTAAACCGACGTATTATACCGGTATTAGAGGTGCTGATAGTATTGCTTTAGAAAGATACTGATGTCATTAAGAGGTGGTACAAGCATTCCTTGAAACATTTGCTGTTTTGAAATCTCATTCTCAAAATGGGCAGACTGTACTTCACTATAGGCTGCACAACAGTTTCATAAATACATGGCCTAGGCATTAATTGAGAAGTTTTCCCAAATTGATGCTAGTAGAGTATTAACAGGTCTTCATCTCATTTGATTCCCCAAGATTGTCACAATCTGAAATGGAAAGAATTTTCTTGAATTCAAAAAACCATGCTTCATTTTCTTCTAGATTGTGTTTGTTACATCTAGAAACTGTTTTGTATGAAATGAAAAATCAAAGAATATCACTAAAAGAGATGTTTCTGCATCTATAACTGTCAAAGGTTCCAGTTGAAAGCCCTACTAGAAGAAATTTTAGATTCAGTAAAAGACAGAAAGAGCCTTTGAGAGATTGAAAACTTCTTGAAAAAGATTGTAGACGAAAGAAGACTTCGACAGAAAACGTGACAGTCTAGGATAGTTTATACTATGTGTTAGACTCTCCGTACAGAATCCATACGGGACTAAGGGACTGTATTTTGGGTCCTTGCTAGCCCTGCTTTTTGTTTGACTGATTGTCAAATTGGTAAATACTTACTAGCCAAGCATTGGCTGTCAGTAGGTGACTTTTTCAAAGGTGCACACACCTTTCAGGGATCAGGACCAGTCCCTCACCAAGATTCTGTCTTTGTCTGAAAGTAGCTGGGAGTAAGCCCTGAAGCTGTCTCTGATGATGGCTTTCAGCCCCTGCTCCTGGCTGGTTGGAGTGGCTGTGCAATAGGTCAGACTCCTCTGAAAAGAGGCATGCATATAGCAATATGTGTGGTAGGGTGCCCTGAATGGAAGGGACCTTTCTATCGTCGCTAGATGCAGCCCCAACCATGAGGACTTGAAAGCTGAATTTTTGGTGATACTGGAGGAGAATTTGCACAAGACAATCCTTGTATATATGCAAAATGATTCAAGCTAGGATCTCAATGGATCATCATTGCAGAGAAACATGTTTTCTGTGATAATCCATTTTTACAATGACATTATATTGATTTTCAGTAAAATGGGGAATTCTCCCCCAAAATATCATTTTCACAAAAATTGACATTTTGGACATTTTCTGAATCAAAAGGTCAGAAAGGGACCAGAAACCTTGTTAAAATTATAAGAAACATGTGCCATTTGGAAAAGGATCATGGAAAGTTGCACATTAATTTCACACATGAAGGGCCGCAAAATTGCTAGGGAAAGTGCAGAGATTTTGGGTAACTTTGCAGAATCCTGGGACTGCTGCAAAATTATTTTCAAAGGCTATTCCTGAGTATGGGCTGGAATGCAGTGGCCATTGGCCACCAAAGCCTTCAATCTTAATTTTTTTTCTGAGTTTTCTTCTGGTGCTGAGCCAGCACCAGTAAGTGGGTGGATTTTCTGGAGTGGAGATGCTCTGAATTTTGGGAGGAAATGTTGAAATTCAGAATCTTAAAGTGGATCAATTGAAAAGTTGTCCACAACTTCAAATTTTGACTAAGGTGCAAATAGTGTATCAAATGTGTGTTGTTTAACATGTTGTGCTCAGTTCATTTGTATGATGTCTGATGTTGGCAGATTTACTATTTTCAGATAGAGATGCAAAAGGCAAAGCAAAATATTCCTATTCCAAATGATAATTCCTCTTTCATCTCAAGGAATTTATTTTCTAACTAAAGTCAGTGAAACCCTGACTCTAAATTTGAGGGCTACATTTTAAAATGTTGCTGCAGCTCATATGTTGAATAAAATGACTGTACAGTGTGTATAACATTGTTGATTTGGAGTTCTTTGGCAATGCTATCAGTAGACTTATCTAATGGGTTCTCTTCTCATCATCCATCAGTGGTCAGCATCCTTCAGAAGTGTTGTCCATTTGCCTTCCATTAATAAGGAAAATCTCTAGAACAGTATAACATAGAACTTCAGAGTAGCAGTAGCTGTGGCAAAAGCAGATTAGTCCACATAACATGCATGGACTGTTATGTTGTTGAATTGAGCAAATGACTAGCTGATCTTGCTTGCAGCAAAGCTAAACCATTACTAATTGTATCATCTAACATCCCTTGGTATATGATACCATAGCTCCATTTGCAAATTCATGGCACTTTAATAATAAATTCATTACATTTTCAAACGTGTCTAAATGGTGCAATTCCTGCAGTGTAAAAACACTGGTTGATGCATTGCCTTTGCACCTTCTTTTTTCATGACCATCATTCCACATCTACAGAAATGAGCTTCAAAAGAATCAAGAGATTCAAGACTAATGAAATTCAATGAAAAGTTCTTTTCTAAAATCCTAGAAAACCAAGGCAAACTGTTAACCTTAGATGATTTTTCATCAAAGATTCTCTCCAAATTATTTATTCAATTGAATCTTATCTGGGAACAGGCTGAAGACCTTGTACTTTAAATTGGGTTCAGTAATTGGGTTGCAATTTTCATACTGTTTTCTTATTTTTTATCAGTGAAGGAAGGGGGTGTAGGCATTCACACCAGTTTTGAGGATGTACTTTATTTTCTTTTGGCATCTACGTGCAGCTTACTTCTTTGTTTTCTCTTTTGAAGTTGAATGCCATTGAAAGGATTTGAGTTGGGAGTGGGTTTTGGATGTGGGAATGTTTTGTGAACCTTGTGAACACTGAAAAGCTGAAAATAAAGCCCCTAGCCCCAAGAGGTGTTGGAGTTTAGAATAGTTCAAATCTCCCAGACCTTGTTCAACCATCAAAGAACAGGAACCTTGTCAAATTGGGAAGATCAAAGATGGCAATTTGCTGAATGGACCTTGCATAGGGCCTCTTATTGACTCATTGACCTGGTTTGAAACACCATTTAGCTTGTGCAGGAAGCACAGGCTACATTATATCAGAATTTGATTTGAAAATTTTGCAATGTGTGAGGAATATATTGTTTCCTACTTTGTGTGTGTTTTGGTTCAGTTTTTTTGACAAATTGTTTTGATTTGTNATAGTAAAAATTAAGGTTCTGTACAGTACAACATTTCTCTATTTACATTATGCAGGAATGAATTGTGTTCATAAGGCAATAACCTTGTGCTCTAATTTGTGATCAGTAATTGCCAAACCCCTTTGATTATCATTACTGACGTTTTATTTTTTTTTATCTGGAAAAAAGGGATGAAAATGTATGCATGTGTACCAATCTTGAATTTTCATGTTCTGGGATGTATTTTCTGGTAAAACTCATACATTTTTCTTCCATGTTGATATGTGTTTGATTGGATATGTGTGAGGAGGGGATTGGGTTTCGGTGATGGGATGTGGGAAACAGTGAGGAAACCTTAATAATGCTGAAATTTGGCAAATAAAGATTATTTATCTATCTGTCTATCATTAGGCAGATACAGAATCTGCCTCATACAGAAACAGAAACATACAGAAACAGGCTGAAGACCTCATGCTTTAAATAAACTTTTATTGCTGCTTTTTCTTCAATATTGGGGATGGGTGGATGTATGCAGCATATGTGTAGGATGTCCAGTTTTATTTTATTTTGTGGAGTGTGTTCTCTCCTGTTTTTGTCATTTGTTTGTGCTTTGTTTCATGATATGAAGTGATTGAATGTCCGGGGGAGTTGATTTGGGTGTGGCCGGGGTTTGGATGTGGGAGTTTTGGTTGTGCCTTGTGAATGCTGAAAAGCGGCAAATAAAGTTTTCTGTTCATTCATTCATTCATTCATTCATTAGGCAACGTAGTTCTGTGCTGTGCCAGTGAAAAAAACCAAATATATCACCATTTTTTGCAATAAAACACAACTGTCCAGTAAATCATTTTCAATATCCTAGTTGCACATTCAGGATGTGATCATCAAACCCATCCATATTCCTCATTGTGTCTAATGTCAGTTCAGGAAAGGCCAAGTCACAAGCTGAAGGAAAATTTGGTGGAATTGAAGAAACAAAGTTTTGAGGAAAACAGACCATCAGAAACAAAATTCTTTCTTCTCTGAAATGATGTACAGAGAAAATAATTTTTTTCAAGGAATACTTAAACAGCAACGAGGTGGAAGTATTTTCTTTGGAAGCAGCAGATAGAGCAAGTGAAATCATCATTCGTTTTTCTCTTACACTGGTCAAAGCGTGTGACTGGAAATTTCTTGAGAGTTGGAAAGTCTGCTGAAAAACCATTCAAAGATTCATAACCGAAAATCAGAAAACAGCACTTTATACACGTATAACCAGGTAAAGAAAAATTTACTCAATCATGGTCCAAAGCTAAGCTGATATTTTTTGGGCAGTGAATTTTATCCACATTTACTTTTTCGTGCCTCAATAAAAATTTGCACATTTAGCAACATTTTTCACATTGACACTTGTTCAGTTACAACTCAAAAAATTTAGAGCATAATAATGAATATCGCTACTAGATGATAACTTTGTAGTTTTAGCAATCTACCGCCAAAAAAGAAAAACATCTTAAAGAATCCGGTTTTGGNTTGTTTTTTTTTTTTTTTTTTCGCTGGCGTCTCTCTGTCTTTTGCCCCGTTGCTGGCTGCATTTTCCTCGGTCAACGGACTCACGGATCGCAATTAACAAGTCCGACTTCAAGTACTTGCCAAACATCACGTGCAATAATCCCACGCCGTAACCAGTCGCTCTTTCCCCATGCAAAAAAAAAAGATGAAAAAAGATGAATGATGATAAAAAAATGAATCATAAAATGTCAATTATGCAGTGGTATCAAGAGTATTTGAACAAGTATAACGAGGAATACTACGTAAGTGCAGGAATAGAAGAGTTTTTTAAGAAGACTTTATTTTCTTGAATTTCATCAGTAATGCATAAATTTACTGAAGTGTATTGTTCACGACTTTTCCAAGAAAATTATCTGAATGAAAAAATTGGCTGAATCATGATAAAAGTCAGTCTTTAAAGCAAATTTGGGGGATACCAATGCTTGAGACAATCATTCTTATAGATATCGGTTCGTTTTTTTTCTATTTTTAATTAATTTCCTACACTTCTTTTCAAAATTCTGTAAAAATTTAGAGAATAAATCCGTGAGTCATCTAAATTAAGACAAAAACCCTGGACTATTCAGACTATAAATCGGGTGCCTTTGCAAGACAAATAATCAAATGAAGTGTAAATTCATGTCATGATGACATAAGTGATGAAGAAATTGCGAAAAAATTTTAGGAATAAAACATGTTCACTCGCACAATGACAAAAAGTTACATTATAGGGAAATGTAAGAAACAGATTTTCAAAAACGATACATTTTTCATGCGAAAGTTTGAATTTTTCGCTGAGATTCGTCCTGTAAAAAAAATTAAAGCAAATTAAAAACAAATTGCATTTACAAATTTCACAAAGAGATAAAATAAAACTAGAAAATAATTCTGAAAAGTGCATTTAAATTAAAATTGAAATTTAAAAGTAATTAAAAAACATTTTAAAATTTTGTAAACAATTTTAAACATTTAAAGAAATTTAAATTCAAATTGAACGAACAAAAACCATTTCCAAGGTTCCTCTTACATTCGAACTTGACAATATCTCAATTTTTGTCGATTTTAGGGAAATGATTCGCAAGAAATTGGTATTTTATTTTAAATTTCTCGGTTTCAACTTGCACAGCAAAAATATATACAGTACAGCAGTATACATAAATGTAATAATCGGGTTCTCCTCAACGTTTCCAACAATGAATCCCATTTTGAAAAGAAACAAAACCCCCTCAGGCGACTGTCCAGAGACTCGTCACCACTGCCACAGGGGTTGCCATGTCAATGTGGAGCCAGGTCAAGGGGTTGTCGAAACCCAAATGTGGAGCAATAAACAACGCAGCACACGAGGGCTGCTGGGCATTGTCTCGTCGATCCTGCAAAACGAAACAACAACAAAACGAAAATAAAAAAGAGACGAATCAAAAATCAAACCTCAGATTAGACAAGATTCGACAATTAGGAGGAATTAAACTTCTGAACCCTGATGGATCGCGAGCATTTCATCACACTTCTTTCTTTTTCATGCAGATTTGAATTTAGTGGGTCCCCACAAATCGCAAATAATCCCCTCCTGAATTGAATTTCGTTATGTGAAACGCGTTTCCCATCAAATGATGACAAAGGAATTTATTCAATAGGTTCCAGTCATTCGGCAAAAGCCGTGAAAAGTATACAATTGTTCCTATTTTTCATCATACAAATTCTGAAATTAATACAACTTGGTGCTAAATTGAAGTAAATCCTCACAACTCCTGCTCATTAATTTTTACATTTTTTCAATTTGTACAGAAAAGAAGATGAAAAACTCTATGCTTTCCTTTTTTCATATATTTTCTTGAATTTTGAAAAATTGATCAAATTTGCGCATTTTCCAGGCCAAAAAAAGAAATAGTATCATTATGTTTGTGAGTCACGCTTCCTTCCAAAAAAAAAGCATCTTCTCAAGAGAATATTCAGCCTCTCCTCTTGTGAGCAGAGGAATTGGTCTTCTGGCCACTGATCTGCTAAACCTGTGTGATTTTTCAGCTTCACACATGCTGGCATCACATGCCCAAAGCTTGAACCATAATATAGAGCAGCTTGCTTTGTCACTCTCAGGTTTTGATGCCAACATCTGCCAGCTTGTGCCAGCCACAAAAGTTTGCTCTGGAGCCCTGATGAAATCTCGCAATTCACACACTTATCCGGAAGATGCAGAAAAACCTCCAAAAGACAATGATGTGTGGTCATTGCCTTCTTTAAATCCAAGTTTCTCAAGAATTTTGCCAGGTCTTGCAGTTTTTTGGCTCCACAAGGAATAATGCACCATGATGGCGCATTTTCATGAGTCCATATATATTTTTTTATTCCAGTACTTTATTTCTGAAAATGGTTTTGTGGCAGTGTCAAACAGTCCATGCATGTCAGAATTCTCCATGAGAAGGTTTTCTAAATATGGGTAACCTATACAGTAAATTATGTCATATTTGTAACAGTTGTGGACTCCTAAATACAAACTCAATTAGTCCTGCCCAAATGTGTTTTACCATCACATAGTTTAACAAAATTTGATTATATTTCAGAGTTTAATCAGTTAAAAAATTGATCAGTTCCTGGTACCTAAAAGACAAGTGAAAATTCAACTAAAAGAAAATGCATCCCCATGAAATAATCATAATGAGTTGCCGCTTCATACACTTGCACCTTGAAATGTGAATGTAACTGTTGCAACTGTTGCTTGAACAGATTCAAGTGAAGGAGGGAGAAACAATTTGCAAATTTTTAAGGATTGAACATTTTGGAATACTATAAGCATCACCACAAAACATTTAGAAAATTATTTACTCCCTCACCGTTTTAGACATTGAGGGCACACATATTTTTATTGAAAGGTTGTTTCATGTTCTTGTTTTTCATAGTTTGAATTCTTCCTTTTAAGAATTTAAAAAATCATATATGTAATTGTATTCAATGTTAAAGAAATTGATAATAGAAATTACTTGGACCATTTGTATTTTCCTCAATTAAATTCATTTTCTATATGTTTTGGAATTTTTTGTCCCTCTAAAATTTATTTTCCAAGTATGAAGAAGTGTGAAGAAATTGAATTATGTTGATCATAGAAGAGAATATATTTAGCCTGACTAAATCCCAAAAGACCTGAGAAAATTTTTTTTTCAACTGCCAAAAAATGCTTTTTTATTTTTTATTTTATTGAATTTATTCACAATATTTGGGTTTAATATCCTCAGCAATTAAATTCTTGGTCACAATTATAACGGATTTATGTTTACATGCATTTGATCCTGATAGGGGATGCATTTGCATGAATTCACTTTTTAATTACAATTGGAAGTCACTTGATTCAAGTTTTCTTTCTGAAAATGCAATTGCAAAAGTCTTTGCAGCATTATTTTGGATGCTTGGACAGGGATTTTTGGGGCCCTTGCAAATCTGTGTGCTGCTGCAGTAACAAAATTTGAAGTGCCATGTGTTTGCGGACTGAACTTTTCATTTTCAATGAACACCCCTGGTCTGAGCCCAGATTTATTGTGTGAAATAAGATGACGGTGCATAAATAACTTCAAAATGTTCTGCCAACTTCTCGGGGTGACCAGTGCTGTAGAGCCAAACTCTTTTGGCTGCCATAGCAACTAGAGAGTTGCCCCCACTTTCCAGTTGCTATGACTATACTGCTGGACAACTGCCACAAAGCAACTGGAGAGTTGCCACAACTCTCCAGTTGCTTTGTGGCAGTTGTCCAGCAGTAGTATAGCCCCGTCGCCCTCCCGGACATGCTGGATGGATTGTTGCTCCCTAGGATGAATACTCCCATCAAGGACCATAAATGTTGTTAACCCTTCTGGGGAGGTCAAAATTGTTCAAGTGTCTGCTTGCCATGCTAGGTTCACATTTTTTTTTATTTTTGCAAGCCCTTCCTTTCTTCTTGCCCCTTACCTTACATAGCCCCAGCAGAGAGGTCTGCAGGAGGGTCCCATTTCTGGTTGTCCAAACTTTGAAAATTTGTCAAAAATTCAATTTTCACTCAATTTTCAAATTTCTTTGAATTTTGCAGGTGCACAGATGTTTTCTAAATCTACTTTATTGATAATTTGAAAAAGCTTAAAAATTGAGTGAGATATCATGACAAACACAACACATTTTTGAAAATTGAGCCAAAATTTGGAAAAAATTTTTCACACTTTAATTTTGAACTAATTAAATATACAAAATTTGTCCTGATTTGAAAATTTCTGCATTTGTAAAACTGTAATACACATTTACCCCTGCAGTAGATTGTGAAATAGTGACCAGTGTTGTAGAGCCAAACTCTTTTGGCTAACATAGCAACTGGAGAGTTGCCACAACTCTCCAGTTGCTATGACAGTTGTCCAGCAGTAATTTTCAAATGACAAATTTTCAAGACGGATTGTTGCTCTCTAGGACGAATACTCCCATCAGGGACCATAGATGTTGTTGAGGACGAATCCTTGGGGTGCGGTGACAGGGTAATATGTTCTTGCCACTTTGGTGAAATAAGTGTGCTTGCAACCTTTTTGCTCACATTCAAACGTTCAAACATTATGTCTGTGACTCTTTCATTAAAATAATGCTTCCACAATGAGTGAAACATATGCTCTGAAACTCATGGGTTAGTTTTGTACTGCAACGTTGGAGTAAGTAGTGGGAGGTTGTTGAACCGTTGGCACGATGGGCACTCCCGAATGATGTTGCAGACTGGTCTTTGCCCCCCCTTCATCCAGTATCGATGCGTCAGTTTTTCTAGGATGGCGGTTGTTGACGCATGCCGCCATTTCTTGTGAAAGGATCGTATGAACGCTCGGAGGAGGGGGGGTATGTTGCCCGTCCGAGGGACTGGGATGTGGATGAGTTCATTTTGAGCTTCAAGCCCGCGCTGCCGCCAAGGCAGGGACACATCGGTGTCCTGCCGGCTGCGGGACATGACCAGGCGAGTCGTCGGGTCCCAGCGGAGATCCGGACGATGCTTGTTCTTTCTGTTGTTGGTCACGTCGGTCCAGGCTGTGTGATCGTGGAACTTCTGTAGGATGCAAATAGCATCATCGGTCGCTGTGCGCCGCTCTTTGGCGGACCAGCTAAGCCGGTAGGGATTGACGTGGGCGCCGCTGCATAGTTTGGCGAGCGGTTTGGGATCTTTTTGATGGTGGCGCGTAAAATACTCCTTGAACCGGGAGAGCGCCATGATTCTTTTCTCCACTTTGTCCCAGGTCCCGGCCTTTTCGAAAAGGGACAGAATGGTCTGTCGTTC